ATAAATAATTTCTGTACCGTTTATTACAAAAAAAATGTGGTCAAAGAAATTTTACAATTTATGAATTGTGTAATATCTGCGAAAGAAACGTTTGTGAACAACCGAAAATTATAACATTATAAAACGCGGCATTGAGGTTCATCTTATGAGCATAACTTCCCAAAAAACGTTCGGTTTCTTTCTTCATGCGAGTCGTGATGAGGGAGCTGTAATCTCATCAGTTATCAGTTAAGCGTGGGCGATCTGTCTGCCCATTTCTCGAAAACCATTAAATTTTGCAGCTCTCAGCTCTCTAAGAAAAAGCCTGTAAATGCCATACCTTGCTGCCGTCAATCTTCATGACCGGCGTCCATCCTCCATCTCCACATCCAAAATCTCCCATATGACAGAAAACAGAAATTGGTTTTGAGTCAACATGGAGCGTAACCAGCTGACTCACCAACGACCTGTTGAATATGGAAATGTCCAGTACTAAGGGATTAATATTAGACTATTTAGATACTAGAGGTTTAGACAGAAAATTATCAGCCAATTCGATATTTAAGAAATAGAAAACATGTTCTGTGTTTCTGTCGAGTTGTAGCTACACGAGTGAGAATTTGAGAAAAAGGGAAATGCTGTGGGAACAGGTGCCCACAGGCGAGTGTTTCCACAGGTTTTTTTGTATTATTTATACAGCTGATATACACAACTTTAGCAGTTCTGAAACAAACGCTCGAAAAAGAAATCCTTTTTATCAACTACCGCCTCTTATAGTTGGCCACTAAAGTTTCTCCGATTGTTATTGGTTTAAAGTGATCACGTGACAAAAGAGTGTTCATCGGCCAATAGACTCTATCTGCCCGTAGTGCCCGTCCAAGGAATATGCTCAGATTGATAGTGCACCATGAAAATTTTTCTGTAAGCAAGCGAGCTTATAAAAAAAAAAAACAAAAAAAACAAAGAAAACAAAAATTGATTTATCTGCATTTTGTGAATGTTTGTCCGTTTCTTTTCAAATTTTAAATTTGGCTGTCACGCCATTCATCTCAAAAATATGAAAATAATACAATGTGATTTTTGAACTGTCGTGCGGAAGATAACTTGGTGGCGAACACTGATGACAATAAGGTGTTTTTGTCTCGGAACTATCGGTCTGATAGCTCCCCCTCGGAAATATGGGGCACATTTGCCCGAGAAGCGAGTATTAGTTTTAAGAACATCAAATTTCCGTGGGGCAACTATCAGTCCGATAGCTCCTCGACAGAAACGCTAGAAATCACGAGCTCATAATCTAATTGTTAACTATTATATGGAGAAAAATTCATTAGCCACAGTTAATGTTTCTAGAGTTTTTAAATATACCCCTGAGGGCTTGATCACTCCGGAAATAAACTTTTTAGAAATGGCCTTCACACTATATGAACAGTTTTGGCCAGTCGTTTATGACTTACATGTATACATCATGGAGTTTCCTGCAAGACGCAAGAACTGCTGCAACTGGAAGACACAGAAAGATTGACAGAAAGGATTGACTTGTTTCAAAACAATTAAAGTAATACCATTCTATTGAAGAAAACCCGTCTCTCTCAAATTGACTTGTGTAGATTATTATATATAACAAAATCTTAACTTAGAGAGTAAACCGAAGCTAGAACAGTAAGTCAATCATCAAAAATATGTTGTTTTATATTTTTATTAAATCCATTTTGAAATCACTGGTTATCCTTCCAATCTGATTGGCCCTCAGCGTTGCGATTAATTCACGAATCGCACTAGTTTGCTCTAAATTGCATCTTTTCTCAGCCAATGAGAATGGGACGGTAAAACAAAACTACCAAAAGATTGCAAGGTTAGTTTAAAGTAACCAAAAAGATTTCAGGGAATTGAAGGATAAAAAGTCATTCACCAGTGTGGCGAATTTTGCAACTATTATTGCCAAAATTTGTTGTTATTGTTGTTGTTGTTGTTTTTCAAAACTCTTGACGAAATTAATTAATTACAGCTCCTTCAGGCTGAAAACCTACTTTAAAGTAAGTTTCCAACTGTCAGTTTTCATTTTGACGAATTGTTTGGCGATTTTTCTTCAACATCTGCTCAACATTTGTATGATACCGAGCAAAACATAAACAGACGAACACAACGCAATAACAAGTTCATAGGCATTTCAAAAAGGTAGATGTTACCAGGTTTCCGGTAGTTTCAAATGAAGCAATACAAGAGCTCAATTCTGTCGCTGTGAATAAAACGTAGCCAAAACATGTCCTGCTACACAAAACAGTGAATGAACGAACGTCTTCCGAAGCTGGTGCCAGTCCCGCCATCTTGAAGATATCTTGAAACAATGGCGCCGCAAGAACTTGACAACTTGAGTATAAAGTTCTACGCCGAGGTCACATAAAGAAAAATAGATTATAACGAGCTGGAATCCCTTAAAATCATGCAGAGTGCCATTAAACGGTATTTAAAACTGAGAAAAAAAAAACTATCCACACTCTGGGCATCATGCACTCGAGGGAGTTTCACAATTCAAAAGAAATCCATCGCAGAATTACACAGGCTGCACTAAAGACGTCGAGAAGTCTCAACCTCAACCACAAGAGAAAGGAAGGCCTTCCATCATTGATTCAAGCGACGAGAATTGAACTTTTATGCATGAAGTAGATTGTTTTTGTTCTGACTTCAGAACTGCTTGTTCCTTTGTTATTTTCGAGTGAGTTTTCGTCACATGACATCGTTTTAAAATTAGATGTAAAGGCGTTTCCGGTTCCGCTATTTTTAACAAACCGGCTACTTGAACAACACACCAAAATCTAAAAATAATTGTGCAGTTTCAAAATGGATCTAATAAAGTGGCAATTGAACTTCG